ATTTTTTTTTTTTTTTTTTGAATCTTATTGAGCTATTTATATCTACTTATGATCACTGATAATTCCAAAACAATTTTTTCAAAGGTAATAATATTTTTTAATCTGTCACATTAATATGTATTCTTTACCACTCGTATCATTGTCCATATCTCATAGATCTATATAAATAAACCTTAGTACATCAGTTGGACTGATCCTTGTGATTTTAGATTCGGTGTTCTGCTAACTTATATCATTTAAATTGTATAATGAATATGACCACCTACACTTTTGATTGTTTCTGGACGGCTGGACCTATATAAGTAGCTCGGAACCTAAAATTCCAAAACACACGAAAAATCCAAGAAATTTAGAAATTCTTCCATTGACTTGAGACTCCTGCACTGGAGAAGATATAGACTAACGCTTTAATGGTTAGCTCTCCTCAATTCACGAGGGATAGGGTTGTTCTTTCCTGTTTAACTTTTTCACTGCCTGCGAAGCCAGGGTGAAAGAGGAGGGTTGCGTCAGGTGGCCAACGTGCGGCGTAAATCTAGTCAGACCTCTGTGAATATGAATCCTCGAAGAAGAGTGGGATTCATGTAGCCGCCCCCAAAAACTCAGGATAAAGCTTTGTCGTTGTTAGGGGTGTTATCTGAGGTTTATCCTTCTAAAAAGTGTCAACCCCAAGAGATAACTTTAGTGCAATTGTTGGTATAGATAGGGTTTTTCTTCGCAATTTACCCAAAAGACAATTGGAAAAATTAAGAATTTACCTGGGGATGATATATATTTCCTCTGAAGTGAGATCCTGCAGTTACCATCCAAAGTGGCACAAAGCATCCAGGTGCAAATAAGCCCTTCAAAAACTAAAGGAGTGTTTGTACGAGCTAGGAATGCTGTGGAAGCTGCAAGGCTAATTCCCCCCTTGTACAAAAATACAGTGACAAATGCGCCTTGCTCTATTTTCTCAGCGTCACGCCCAAATAATAGACGGGGACAGAATAATTAATCTAGTTCGGCCTAGAATCAAATTAGGACGGTATACAAGTTTGAGCTTTTATTTTGACATTTTTCACTAAAGGGGTTTTTTATACTATTGGAAAGTAAAGTTGGGCTAGCGGTTTAAGTGGATAGGAGCACTCGTTTACTAAACTTTTTATCCATTCATTATGCTTTGAGATTTGTGCTACACATTAATGCTATCTTTGATATTTGTGTCTTCATTTATATTATATGCTAGCACAAATCTCAATGCAAAAATCAATGGATAAAAAAGTTGGTAGACAAAAGGCTCCTATATATCCAATTAAGTTTATAAGAGTTTTACTCTATATATATTCTTCTATTGTTATAGGTTAATGTCAGCATAGGGCGTACTTGGATTCAAGGGTAGTGTTTGAGAGGAGAGAATATCAGTCTTTGTCCATCCAAAAAAATCGTAAGGAGAGTGTTTTGGAGGAGCACAAGATGATGACCATATATTTGAGGTTGAGAGATAGAGAGAGACGAGAAATGAGCGATTCCTCTTGTATTAAATGTCATGGACCGTCAACCCCACAGAATACTTACTTCCTCCTAAACGGGACTTATGCATGTATACGTCTACATCCTTGATAATAGAAAAAATAGTACAATCGTCAGACCTCATATAACTGTAGGCGTACATAAAATTTGGTTTGCAGGCTTATTTTACCGCCCTCTCTCTCCCTCTCTCATCATTTTAACTCTCCACAAACTGCGCTGATTTCATCAGCATCTGCGATATCCTGACCGCCCCCAGCAACCTCTCGGGCAGCTCCTCCTCGCTCTGCGCCTCCACGACGAACCCCAGATCCACCCTCACCTCCTCCACGAACCCTAACGCCAGCGACACCGCCGCGCCGAGCTCCCAATATCCACGTCCACCTCCAGGTAACCGTCCCCCCTGTAGTAACTGCACTCGAGAGCTTTGCCCAGAACGCACGCTGCGTATTTCCCCACGGTCTTCCGTACGATCCACGGCCCCTTCAGGACCCTGTTCACGATCTTGAACCTGGAGTTCCTGAAGGCGTCGCTGCCGTCGATGAAGCGGTGCAGCAGCGAGTTGGGCTTTATGGGCTCCTGGGCCGCGAAGTAGAAGACGGACGAGTAGGACCTCCTCTTGCCGCCGGGAATCTGGAGATTGATCGCGTCAGGAGATACGAGTTTCAGATCCGGGGCTTTGGGCTCTTATCAGGCCGCCGGAGTTTCTCGATGACTCAGGTTATTGCTGGGCCGGCCTAATAAGTTGTTCAGCAGCCGCGGCCCCCCGAGCGGAGCCAATCGACAGCCGCGGGCTTCAGAGGGTAGGAGCTCGACGGAGCTTTTCTGGCGGGAGGACAGGATTTGAGTTCGGCTGCGGAGGTTGAAGAGATGGGCTGGCGTTGAGCCCAACCGTTACGGCCAGTCAAGAGCCCACGTGGCGGAGGGGGCCCACCGGCAAATGGACTGGCTATGAGCCAATCGTAGGAGCGGTGGGGAGGGCTGTTCTTTGGTTGATGGCGGCTCGGACTCTGTGGATGCGGGTCGGGTCGAAAACCGTTACTGGTGGAAGTTGGTTTCGCGGGGCCGGGCTCGATGTACGATCCGAGCGAGGTGAGGCCTGCGGAGGACATGAGATGCAGGCTCGTGGAGACAGGGAGAGGAGCAGCTAGGTTAGAAATGGAAGTTGCAGTTATAGATTTCGTGTGAAGGGTTGACTAAGGAATTTATGTCCACAATTGGTAAGAGTTAATTTAGGGGGGGAAGGAAAAACTTGTGGGCAAGAGGAATTGTATAGAATAAATTGGCGGGAAGAAACGCAAGGCGAAGAGAATCTACCGCTGTACCTGTTTGGTGTTTTATATATGGTGATACTTTGGTGTAAATAAAGCAAGGAGTATTAACCAGGGAAGCATTCAATCTCGATACGGCTCGAGAGATATGATGCTTACCATATCAATATCCACTTTCTCTATCTCAGATACGGATATACCTCGATAAGAAAAATTCATATTCATATCCGCTAAAATCGGATACGCTTACGGATATACATGCGAATATATAAGCAAATATGCATACGAACACAAAACAGATACGAGAAAACTAGATAGTATTAAGAAAAGTATAGTTCATGTGATAAAAAGAGTTCGTTAATATGTTCATTATAACTAAAAAATTAAGATTATCATCAAAATTAACCACAAATCCATAATCTAAGAATCAAAACTATCGTAAGAGTATGACTAATATGTATTTGGATATTTTAGATACGGATACGAATATTTCACTATAAAACCATATCTGTAACCATATCCTATCGGTTATAGATTTGAGTAACCGTATTCGTATTCTAACGGATACAGTTATTGATATTTCCTCGGATACGGATACGGTTTAGCACCCCTAGTATTAACAATACTCTCAAAATAGAGAGAGTACAGTCAAAGTCCAAAAGTACGAAGCAATAGGCGTCAATGAAAGTTCTAGATTACTTCTCAAATAGAAAAAAAAAATTATAAATATAAAATCTCTTCCTAATACATCTCCTTACTAGTAAGCTACAAGTTTGGTTTTCCATTAAAAGATGGAGAACCAAAACCAAACTCTCATTACAAACTCCTCGCCTAAATTCGACCTGATGCTGGAGATATGAATCCTCAGTTTCAAATGCGTCGTCCTCTCAGAAACGAATCACGCCTCACCTAAGAACAGAGGAAACAAATCAAAAGTATAAGCTGAAGCAGAAACATAACTTTTCGATAAACCGCTTGCAGGCAAAGACTGCAGATAGGGCATTGAAAACAGTCCCAAAGTTCAATTATCATTTTCTTCAACAAAAAACAAAGTTTCTGATAATTTTGTGCAAAATCCCCAAATTTCGTGGTAGTGCTGTGAAAGTTATCCAAAATAAAAGGTTAATGGAACTCCTTTAACCAAATCCTGTAGTCCATGCTAACGGATTGGTTCAATTTGATTTCATTTATTTTGCTGTGATTGTAAATGATAGCAAGAAAATGAACCGTAAACAGTATAAGCTAAAATCTGAGAAGTGATTATTGACGCCTTACTTTGCCAAACACAGAAACTAATCCAAAATGGCTATATAATCCAATATGGCTATATAACTGCCTTCAGGCCCATTTCTTATCACGAATGTGAAACATTAGCTGCAAAATTCGACAAGTACGTAATATATGTCAAAACAATTTAAAGTTCCAATAATCCAAATAAAAATATAAAGCATTACCTTGGTCCCTACATAAAAGGATGCAAATATGCCACCGAGAACAGGTAACCCTGTACTCATTGGAAAAAAAGGGGTAAATATATGTGTGCTCTCTATAAGGGTGTAAATGAACTTTTGTCAGGGAAATTACCTTCTTTATGGAGCAATCGAGAGACCAGCCAGTTTATGCCAGAGGGTCCTATAACGTATCCAACAAGGTTGGCGACCTGTTAAATTAGCAGAAGTTAATGATGACGTAACAAACATAAAAATAATTTGGAATAATCAGGGTCCAGATCACATTTTAAGTGAACTATGGATTACCATGTTTGACTAATAGCCAATCATTGCACAGTTTTTACATGCTAACTCGCAAGGGGTTGATTTCAATGAATTGATATTCTTCATCAGGCTTTGGTGTATTAGAGCTCAGCATGTAAGGTTTTCATATCATTTTCAAAGGCATTTATTAATCATGGTCCAGTAAAAGGAGAAAAACCATACAATATTTCCTGAGATTAAGCATAAAATATTAAAAAATTAGGATAAGCAAAACAATTGAAATTCTTGGATTTAATAATGGGGTTAAATCTGGTTATTTGACTCAATATGCTAAAAAAATCATGTGAATGGAGCAAATAGCATCTCGTTATCTCTTCTTCCAGGTTTCCTTTGCTTAAAAGAGAATAGCTTGCTCCTTTGTGCATGAACTTAAATTGCATGACCAAAGACAGCAGATGTATCTCAGCTGGAAAATGGCTTGGGTGATATGATGTTTTTCTTTGTGATTAACCCTTAAATATGCAATAATGAAAATTGTGCCTTCAAGAGGATTGATATTTCTCCAGTGAGTGCTGTGAAGACCATGAACTGAACTCCAGAGGCATGCTGTGTGTGGAAAAAAAATGAATTTTCAAGAAGCCTGATTCCAAAGTGCAACAGTTTAAACACTCTTAATTAAAGTATGCATGAAAATGTTCCGGTTGAGAAACCACGGAGGGTAGTATGTAACCATCATAATAAATACCATGAGACACATAATGGTAACTGCCCCAGCAACAGCGCTTAGCTCATGAAGAACAAACCTCCCAAGAGCACTTCTAGCCTAATGAAGTAATAGACAAAAATATATAAGAACATATCAATAACATAGAAGAACAGTGGATAAAAGAACACTGAATGTATTATCATTATGTGCATTGGAGTAGAAAACTGATCGAAAGAGTGAAAAGAAGAAATATACCAATATTGCTAGAAAATGCAAGCTTAATCTTATGCAAACGATAAGCAATCCACTAAATTCCGCCAAATGAGGAAGGAAACATGGAAGTACAGAGAGATGAAAAGACTTCTTTATATCATCAATTCAACTTTTAGCTAAGGCATTAAGTAAGTTAAAGAGCAAATCTGAGACACATCCAAAAAAAGAAGAAAAAGATAATCTACCTAGTAATCTTTAATTTAGTTGGAATATCTAAACCTCTATGAAAGCTAGAAGTTTCTCACATAATACAACTTTTTTATGACATGAAAAATGAGAGATGGCGGAATCTCTCACGTTTCGCGATGGCCAAAAAGTTATAAAAATTAGAAATTCCTGATATTGATTCAGATACTAACACAAACATTAAAAAGGAAAACCATTCCGATATATTGTCAGTTAAAAATAAATGCTGAATAGTTATAATCATATTGCATGATATTTTTTCTATCCTCGTTGAAGTTCAACCATATCCCATTTAAGAGAGAGTCTTTGCATACCATCATGTCCAGGGCTCTAAAAATGATGAAATTGACTGAGGGTTTGAGATGGCACAGGGTTTAATTTCCCATATATTTAAAAAACTTTATATCCTTTGACATTCTGTGCCATCCACTACGTTTAGGAGATTAAAAGATACATTTAAATTTTTATTAGAATAAAAAATTGCAAAAAGAAATTATTTAAATTAAACGGTACAGAGCTATTACAATTTCACAGAATGAGGGATGCAAAAACTTTCAGAGATAAAGAAGTAGGTTTTACCTGATGCTTGCTAATTGATGACTTAACCAAAATTTCAGGGATTAAAAATATACATGTTAACCATGCCCATGACAGAAGTTTCCTGTGAAGGCAAAAACAAATTAATGTAAGGGCACGTATTGATGTATACATTGAATAGCAACCTATCTTCTTCCTATACTTCACAGCATCTTTAATGATCATAAACAATAAAATATTAACATATAGGGATTAGACAGATTACCACTCAAGGTCATGCCATATGGCAACAAATGTGAAAATAGCCCACACATTAAGTAACTTCCTTTGAGAACCTCCAAGTGGAATGTACATGTACCTACAATGACATCGCTAAAGATTAGCTAACTCCTTTTGACTATTAGCTAAAAATAATATTTAGCTTGCAAAACATGGGCCAACCTGACAAGCCATCTATTGAAAGATGCATGCCAACTTTTCCAGAAGCCCTCCAGGTCATGGCAGTTATTGATACATCTTGGCATGTTCTCAGGAGCTTCAATGCCAGCAATCTAAAATTGGAATGTCATAGACTCATACGCAATGAACAAATGGCTCAAAATGGAGGAATACTAAACCTTCCAATTGCATAATATACAACATTTTGCAGATTGCTGGAATATAAATGTTTAGAATGTATGTTTATGTGTTGCCAGCATTAAAATGTTGAGAATGTGTAAATCTATGAGTAATATAAAAAATGTTAGTGATATGAGGAAACGCCACATACTTACAAGAGACCAGAAACGGAAATAGCGCCAAATCAGAAGAAACTTCAACCACATAAAGTTTAGAACCTGCCACAGTTGTGTTAAAAACTATTATGCATCAGAATGAAGTCACCCATAGTATTATATAGGGAAGTTTAGATATTAGTATTACTAAATGAAAGCTGTCAGATATTAGTATTACTAAATGGAGTAATGTAAAACATGTAGAGACAAGTATATGATGAGTGCTTCACACAAGAAAGCCATATTATTCTACAAAAGAAACATATGTGATTCTTTCCTAGTGCAACCAGTAATTTATGCATGGCCATATACGTCGGAAAAGTTAAGGTGTTAAGGTACAATATAACATAAGCATGTATCCCAATTTTTCTGTCATAATATTCAGTTAATGATTCCTTTACATGGAATATATTGATGGCTAAAATGCTATCTTACCCCATATCCAATGATGAAGATATCTAATGGTGATAGCTGCCTCCATAAGCCACTGTGGAAGCCACCCAGGTTAGAGCAGATATAGAAAGCTAAGCTATATATATATATAGAGCTTTGCTACAGGGACCCAAAATATGGGACCAATAGAGGGGACAAGTGAGGTGTCCCCCTCCTATTGGATAATGAGTTGGCCATCATTAATGATGGCCAACTCATTATCCAATAGGAGGGGAACACCTCACTTGTCCCCTTTATTGGTCCCATATTTTGGGTCCTTAAAGAATTTTTCATTAACTTTTAAAATCTATATTGGACATTTGTCATGATCTCCTTCCCCTTGTACAATTCTCAATAAAGGACCTTTTATAGCATACTTCTATACTACTAGCAGTAGTAGTTCCGACAGAACCAGTTACATGAAGAAGCATTAGCAGCACGACGAACAGGATGAATTTGAGGAAGCGAGGCTGAGGTTATCTCTGGACAGCCTTTTCTGGGGTTTTCCAGCGATTCTGGATCCATTAGGTCAGGAAAAATTGTTCTCTCTTCGTGCAGTGTTTGAGCAGGCTGTACAAATGTCTAACCTAATTATCTCTAAAGAACCAAGCTTTTGTAGAGATATGAACCTACTCGCTTATATCGAAAGATGAGTGATACCCTTCGGTGGTATCATCATCTTATAGTTAAGTGAGCATAATAATATCACAAAGGAAACCTAAACCCGTGAGCGTGCTAACACAAATATAGAAATAGAGAAGGTATAAATACTTTCGAAGAATTTTACTCAGTCCAATTTAAATAGCCTACCAAATAAAAAAAGGAAAAAAAAAAACATACATTCACAGAATGATACAGAACATCTATGCCACAAAAATGAAAACATTGCTCAGACTATAATAAATACCAGATCATATTGCACAAATATAACAAAGAAGAGTTCATTATCGATCAGATCTGTTGCTTGAAAAGGCACTTGAAGCTGAGGTGTTTACCTCATACGTAGCTGTTTTTGAACTAGATGATGCTCTTGGCTCATCCTCATCTTCAAGGTCACTAAAGGATACATCTTCCTCATTTCCAAAGGGCATAAATGTAGTACCCGAGATATCACCTGACTCATCATTCAACCATTCATCATCATCATTGTCATCATAGTCATGAATGGAGATCTCTGAGAAGTTACATGCTAGATCCTTATGCATGGATTCAGTGGCTAGATCTTCTTTAATAACAGGCTTACCAATGATCTCATCCTCAGATATTGGACCCTCTAATGGATACATAATATGAAATTACCATAGATCTGAAAGTCATGAGAGAGTTTACCTTATCGCAAAGGCATTGTAGTAGAAAAAATGTGTCATTGTTTCCATTAAGAAAAGATTAAGAACCCATTTAAACCCATACCAAGCAGTTTGTCTGACTGAATAACTCTTTTGAGGTGTACCTAACTGCAAAAACAAAAGTAACTACTGTTGTAAGGATAATGATTACAAATATCTAAAAACAAAATCAAAAGGGCAAGACATGGATTCAGTATAAACTTTTACACTGCATAGGACGGTTGGGAGAAAATATGAAGGATATGACACCTCATCTAAATACTTAGAATAAGATACATGCATACACCTTAGGGGAAAATCAAAAGGATGAGCACAAAGAATTGATTTCAGGAAATGAAGAATGCAGTATATGCCGGATGACTTGCATTTCATTAAGAAAATAAGAAGGTAATATGAACATAAGTTTATATACAGAAGTGAAAGTCCAATTTCGTAGCAGATATATAGCTTTCAATAATAATGAATAGAAAGATAATTTAAAGGGGGTTATATGCAAAGGAGTGTTAGTTGATTTAATCATTTAAGGCCACTTTGTCACATGAAGTTTGACCATGTTCTAATCTAGACTTAAGAGGGTCGAGGACTTGAGTGTTCGATCTGTTTTTTCAATGACAACTTTCAGAATTGGTGTGACTTAGATCCTCAACCCACAGCATGTCTGTCTTAGTATAGTTCAAGGGATGATCAGGATGTCGACTGGGCATGGGGACCTTCCTCTCACAGCACAACTGAAACCTAGATTTCAGTCAATTAGCTCATAAAGCAACATAGTCTAACAGAAACATGTAGATGGTAAGAAAACTGTCTACAGAAACATTAGACAAAAGTATGATCCTAACCTGTTTAGCAAATGCGTTGAAGCTTACAACTGGTCCAGCAATATAAAGGGGAGCATAAATTAAATAGCACAAATAGGTGCTAAAGGAATGGTCATCTCGAGGAATGCTTGTCTCCTGCCAATAGCAACAAAATTTACAAAGCAAATTACCATCACAAAATATACTCTCAGAAACAAAATTGATAGTTGATTTTCAGAAAGGAATTCCCATTACATAAGCTATAAATAAACAGCATGCATGACTTAAGATTAATGCACGACCAGTTCGTGAAGTTCATTCAGAAGAATCTTAACCACATTTTAATAAACTTTTGATTATCTTTTATTAATACAGAGGTGGACTGCATTTACCAAACCTCGTACTAACAGTGTCTAGCATATATTACCTGTAAAACTTGGTAGCAAGAGTTTCCAGATGAACAAACAGAGCAGCCTTTTGAATGCTTCTGTATCCAACAAACCACTAAAACAAAATCATTTAGCTATCTCGCTTGTCGAGAAATGAAATAAAAAAAGGATATAGTTGAAATCATAAAACTAGATTTTTGAAAGGCATCGCACTTGATGATTATATGCATGCATCAACAGTGACATGCTTCTTATTTAGAAAACTAGTACCTGCTTAATGGGGGGGAAATCAAAGTAAGAAGTGATGAAAAACCAAAGAAGTATTCTAGATAGCATCCTTAACATGTAGAACTGGCGAAAAGGAAAAAAGATCCTTATATCATGCTTGCCAACAGCATAGTAATACAGATATAACAAGGCATCTCAGAAATTTGATGTAGATATGTATATGGCAATGATTAGACAAGAATGGTAGAGTAAGGATCAATGGTAAATGGTGAAAGAGATTATAAAGGTCATATAAACAAAGATATCAAATCAAATAAAGAAACATGTTACTATGCCGATGGATGAAGAAATGAGATCATAATAGATAATAATAAATGACATGTTTTTATGTGCAAAAACCCAGTTTAGAAAGCTTGTAAGGAAGAAAATTCATCAGTAAGTTACAGAAACTTTCCCTATCAGGAAGTCGCATTAACAGTGAGCATGGCCCAGAAAAAAAATGGCCAAGAAACGTAATTTCTACATTGTCATAAAACGACCATCATTCTTACTCTTAAAAGTCCCTTCAACTACACCAAAACTCAGTTATGCTGAGATTGAAGGGTCATAATTTTATACTCTATCACGGCTCCACATGTTGAAGACTCTTTTCATGGATCTGAAATCTATACTACTATTACAAAGAGGTACCTTTTTTCTCTCTAAAATCTGCTTTAAATGTATGATGGGAATGGAAAATGGGTTTCGTTGATAACAACTTAAAGCCCTCCAATAGAAATTGTAGCCAGGGTTAAGGATTGAGTTAAACAAGAAAGAAGAAATAGCATTGTTCAAAATCAGAAGAAAATATGAAGATTGAGTTAAACAAGAAATAAGAAATAGCATACCTTATAGTCAAAACGAGACACTTGGTTTGACCAATGATAGTCACAGCCATAGCTTATCATGCGCAATGTAACTGCCACAGAAACAAGATGTGTGACCTACCTAAAAAGCAGATTTCACTCACAGAATGTGCCAATTTACTTCAATAGCTTTTAAAATAATCGATAAGATGGGATTAAAAAAAACAATACCCAGGTTAAAGCATATCTGCCATCTAAAAATACCACGGTGCTCGTCGAGAAAAGCCCAGTGTTGTCTGTTGAGCAGAGAACAGATGCAATCTAATAATGATAATAACAGCTTTCGGATTTGATAAACATTAATATGTATAGAATAAGCATCAACTGACCCAAACAATGAGAATGAGTAGCCTTCGTATTTTCGGTTCATCACTAGAATGACTACGTTGAAAATCCAATGGACAAGTAAGTAAAACTTTGATCGACCAAAATTCTGCAATAAAAGAAGAGTCAGAAGAACTCAAAAAAAAGAAACATTGCATGCACAGAACAACCATGAAAGTGATAACATTAATAGATTGAATCTCAATATCAACTGAACTGAATTTTGAAATAAAGAAAGAACACAATACAGATAGTCATCTAACAGTATCAACAGAGTATCACTGGAAGCATAAGAGAAAATACTGTTAAGCAGATCAACCTTGGCTAGGATGAAGTTCAATGTAGCAATTGAAAGCAGAAAGATAATACTGCAATTTAAAAAAAAAAATGTATGAGCCCGTGATATTTGACAAATCATGAAAGGTTTTAGGTGATCAAGAAGCATACCAGGCTCCATGTAGATATGCTAAATAACTCAAAGATAACAAAATCCATATAATTGACATTCCTCTCCTTTTCAAGTGATATTGACTTCTGAGGGTATTTGCCACAGTCACAAAAATTCCAAAAACAACACTTAATACAGGTAAGTTTCCACGAAAGTTTCTCCATTGTGCGTCAGATAGATCCTGAAGAGAAAAGTTCAACAACAATGATTATATCCAAAATAGATTGTTGAGGATGATGGGATCATTTTCTGAGGTAAAAAAATGAAACAGCCAAAATGATTCAATATCTGATTATCCATCTTGACATGGAATGACATTCCTAGTGCTGCTAGAGTTTAAGAGTTCGCAGCACACTCTAGATAGAGCGTGAGGAACATTACTATTACTACATTATATTAACACGAGAGTTCCATTTACATGTTTCATCTTTAATTTTTCATCAAGAAGGCAACATTTGTGATTGTCATGGGAGGATATGAAGCTCGAGTGACAAATTGTAGATAATGTTAGGGTTGTTTTCATAGAAACCGCCTTAAAAAATAGCGTAATTCTGCAGGAACCACATTTGAATTTCAATATGTACATTAAACACCTTTAAAGTGGGTTTGTGTGGCAATCAACCACCTCCCAAACAAATTTTCACCAAAAACCAAAAACAACCATAAATAATTCACGTTCAAGGTAAGTGACTTGCATCCCAACTAGACCTAAACATTAATAAAATGAATGATGTGCCTTGAATGTGAGTGTTTAAGGGTGTTTTTTGGGGTTTTAGCGAAAAATTAACTGAGAGGTGGTTGATTGCAATCCGAACCCATATTAAAGATGCTTTGTGTGTAAATTGAAATTCGAAGGTGGTTCATGCTGAATTACCCTATTTTTAAGGTGGTTTCTAGGAGGGGGGAAAACCCCATCAGTAATCTTTTGAGAAATTTGTTGTGTGTCATTTTTGGAATTTGAACATTTGTGATTCCAGTTGTCAATGTCATGGTGGCTTGTTACCCCAAGTCAAACACATATATGCTAGAACATTTTATTATGGTAATATAGTCAACACGTTAAGTTGAAAGCATTATCAATGACAATGGCATATAATATGGTGTATAATACACGACCAGGGTATCTAACTACTTACTACATTACTTCAGTAACTTGTAATCCTGGATGGATTTGTATAATATGGTGATTTATTACTCATCAAGAACACTATAATTAACAAAAAATCAACTCATTATTTGATTTATGTAGTCAAAAATATGATTTTGAGCGCTTGAACTTACATTGAGACGATTGAACATCCATCCACTGCGGAGACCGCGGACGCTTCTATAATGATCTGCAAATTATTTACACTTACCAATCACATTAATCAAGTCAAACAAAAGAATAATGAAGAAAAATAAAACACCGACCATGAGAAAGTTGAAGAGATCTGCGAACGACAACGACGTAGAATCCGAAGGCGTAAGCTACAAGAAACAGGAGCTCCCATTGCTCCCACCGAATCCTGCTCATTTCTCTTCTCCTTCTTCTTCTTCCGCAAAATCGAGTAAATCTATGAATAAGAGGGAGAAAATGAACGAAATTGATCTCGAAATTACTTGCCTCGACTAAAAATTGAAACTTGAAACGGAAAATTACAATAAAGTTCCTCCAGAGAAAAACAAAGAAGGAGACAGTGAAAGGTCTCGTCGTCGCCGGCGTCGCTGATCGCCGTCGTCGCCG